AAAAAAAAAAAAAAAAAAAAAAAAAAAAAAGGCTTTGGTGTGCCTTCGCTTACTAGAATATATTTTTTCACCATTTGGAAAAGTAACACTTCACAGCTTAACCCCATATTTATCACCAATTGATGAAAAATTAAGAAAAAGTACTAAATTTTAAATTTTGGAACTGGAGATGTTAAAAATATGATAGCGCACATTATTTGACTGTTTAGATAATTTAAAAAAAATTTTAGGTAGTTAATTTTTAATATATAATAAATACTTATAATAAATCTACAATGAATAAAATAAATATTTGATATAAACAATGAGAAAAGAAAAGTAAAAACAAACCAAGTACTTAAAGGTACCTACCATCCTGCCAGGGTCTTTTAAGACTTTCTGGAAAAGATTTCTCTATCTTAAATGTCAATACATCTCCATGAACAATCTTTAGTTTTCCAGGTGCTGCATCAGAAAGCATCTAGTTTACAAAAAGGTCAATGAAATGAGTGCATACATTTCAGGTATCATTAAATCAGTTAGAAAAAGCAACCACTGATGAACTAACAATATAGCATTCACTGCAACAGATATTTTGTATCTGTAAGTTTTTAAATTACATACTAAAGCCATTTTAATGAAATACTAAAGAATTAGAAATAAGTCATATGAAAAATGAATTTAGGTCTTCAGAGCCCAAATATATTCAAATGATTCTGCATATTACTAAGACCTTTAACTATATACAGATTCAAACTGAGCATATTTGTCCCTTCTCAATGGCAGGCCCCATTTGGTTTTCTGAGCCTCCCCCCTGAGCAGAGCATGTCTAATCCCAGTATTTCTTGATTCAAAGGGACTATAAGCCTAATGAATTACTCTACATGTCCTCAATAATAGCATTTCCCAATCTATTTCTACCTTTTAAGTATTTGCTTTCTTTCCTTTTTCTTTGATCTTCAGAGGAAAACAACATAGAATTAAGATTCCTTTCTAATCTTCACACTATTTTTTTTCTTCACTTCATTCACCTTAGCACCACACCTTCACAGCATGTACTAAAACATTGGTACCTAGTTGGAAAGAGCCTTATGGCTCTGCCAACTACAAAGTTGTATTTTGTTGTGTGTACCCAATTCCCTCACCCAAGTCAACTCTTGAATTCCTTGACAAAATAGAAAACATACATCATTGAGCTTATTCTGCAGAAGGGATCATAATCAATGAGAAAAACCATGACTACTCGAGAGGACTGCAAGTTAAGAGTGGTCATCTTCCCACTCAGTGTGTCTCAACTGAGTTCAGAGAACTGGGGCTCCTACTTAGTTGCCAAGAATATCTGAAACATCTCTAGGGATATACAAGTAAGATGAAGGAGCTCAAGCTCAAATGAAACTCTACCATGGCCACACTTTGGTCCTACTGTTCCATAGAAGCTGCTGTTTTTCTCCTACCATTCTCTACCTATTTTGGGCAACTTACAGAAAGAATACATGGGGGCTGGGGATATAACTCAGTGGAATAAGGGCTTGCCTGGCAAGCACAAGATCCTGAGTTCAATCCCTGGTACCACAGGGGGGGAAAAAAATTGACTAAGCTGTATTGTTAAAAAAAAAAAAAAAAAAAAGAATACATGGCATCAGAGAAGCCACAGGGATACTCTAGAGCAAAATACAGATTGCTGATACCCTCAACCTTTGTGTCCATAATCAGAAGCTGAAGGGTCTGTGCTGAAAGACTGTACACTGGAGGCCTAGAGATGGACGTCCTAAGGCAATGATGACAACTGGAGTGCCTCTTATAAAACAGAAGCAAGACTTCTTTCTATTCCTTTTGGTTCCATCCAGACTCCAAGCCTATTGGTTGGTGCCACTCACCCAGGGCAAGTTAGTTCTCTTCATTAAATCCATCATGCAGACATGCACAGAACTATGCTAAACCAATATACTGGACATTTCTTATCAGGTTCACACCACAGTTAACTATTACAATTCCCTTGTATGTAAATATCAATGGCTATGTACATATCTGACTTTGTGCGGGTGTTATTGGGGTAAACAGGAAATAAATGCTGCCCTTAAGCAACATGCATTGTTACAGGGAAAGAAACATACACATATGTGACTGTTACAGTGTGTTGTGCTATCAGGAATCATGGACAATGCACAGGGTGGACACAACAGTAACTGTTACTTTTTGTTGCCATCAATGGGCCTGCCTTTAGCACTGGTCTTTGCACTTATAATTCACAATGGCATAAGACACTACTTTGGC